GGCCCCATGGCTGCTGTTAGCACCGAGCAGCGCGGGGGGGTCCGGGACGGGTCGCGTCCGGATCTGTGCCGGCATGGGGGGTGCGGGAGGGTCCAGGAGCGGCCTGGATATGCAGCGCTGACACCGAGCTAGGCTGAACCCAGCTGCAAAATAATTGTTTTCCATACCGAAGCTGTTCAGTAGCTGATCGACAGAAAAGGGGAGCATGGGAGATGTACAGAAGACTATCCTATGTCTTCTGCATCCTGCTCTAAAAACTCGCCTGCTTGACACGGGAGGAGGAGGAGTGCCATGTCTCCCAGGGCATCCCCCTCCCGTTCATAGTGGCTAAGCACTCCGCAGTGCAATTATCCACGACAGAAACACTGAAATACAAGCAATTTGTTCAATGACAAAGGAGGATCATGACAAAGCCAAGTTTTCAAACCCGTCTCTTGTCAAGTTTCCTGCTGTTCCCCTCTTCTCAGAGAGGCTATCTGGAGATGGAGAAAAACAGAATGAGCTGTGAATTATCATTACATCATTTTATTGAAGTTACATGGACGTGCAAGAGTGAGCAGCACTGGGCATCCAGCTTTTTGACTAATGCAAACTTAGAAGCACATACATAAGGCAGAATTATAAAGCAAAGCTGGCTGAACCCCTGTAAGCATGCTAAAGCTGAATAAAATACCTAAAGGTAATTTAGAAAATGCCTGTGGTCAGACAGTTGGACTAGATGATTATTGTAGGTCCCTTCCACCTGGAATGTTCTATTCTATTCTATTCTATTCTATTCTATTCTATTCTATTCTATTCTATTCTATTCTATTCTATTCTATTCCATTCCATTCCATTCCATTCCATTCTATTCCATTTGGAATAAAAGTAATTTTAAAATACTATCCAAAAGATTAAATTTAGTTCTGTTCATAACAGTTTTCTGCATTAGTCTGAAAGCTCTACTGCCTCAATAATTAAAACAGTAGAATTACTCATTCCATATCAACAGGTGCACCCATATTTAAAATTAAATTGTTCCGTCAATAGGACATGCTGGTATGTCCTATTTTAAAGAAATTCCTGATATCACTTCGGAATTTTATCTGGTGCTCACAAACACAAAATGAGACAAGATAATTGCTCAGAGGAAATGAATGTAAATACCATCATTTGTAACGTAAAATGGAGTTATGAATACTAATGCATGAAACAAGGCCTGCCCAGCTGACAGCTTGCAAGACATCTGGCCTCCAGGACAATTTTCCACTATCGTGTAAAATTATACATCTCCTCTGACATCTGGCCTTAGTGTAAATGGGACTGATGTCATCCACTCCCAATTGCCAAGAAGTTGAAAAGTCTTCTATTAGATTTACAACTTATTTATTCTTACCAATTGCGGAGGCCGAGGCATACTTCTGGCCCTATAAATCCTTATATAATACCCATGTCTAAGCGGAGGACATGAAAGTAAGCAAAGTGCAGTGCTGGATGTAAAACTCCATGACTCACAGAAAAAATATGCATACACAGCACTTTGAGGAAGCAAGTGAAGCACAGCTAGGCTGTCCTACGCTGACTTTAATTGAACTACAGCAAATTAATATCAGTGGGGACACATCACAAAACATCAACCACAGACCAATGCAGCAATCTTGGAGAGTTTGTAGTCTCATTTTCGGCCCCTGCTGAAGCTGTGTCCCATGTTCACCTGTGCTATTTAGTATTAAACTAGAGTAGTAGCATTAAACTAAGTACTAACTTAACATGACTGCACAGACATACCTGAAGTCTCACTCGCACGTGCAGTGGACATGATAACTGAACTTCTGCTCACTAGCTTTCTTTGCAATTGTTTTTATCTATTGTGTGCAGGGTATGAAGCAAGCACAGATGTTGTTTGATATGTCCTTGGCACACCAGCTACTGATACAATATTTTGTGCTATTATATTGCAACACTATACAACGTATTTTTGATTTTTCAATTCTAGAAGAAAGAATAATAATTATAGTTTTGACTCCATCTTCACATTTATTTAAATATAGTTTCTAGAGCATTTGGATTATTACAAATGCCAAGTGTGCAAAACAAGTGGATTCCATTAACAATTAAATTTTTAAATTGTTAGCTTGTGTGTTTTATCCTACAAGCCCAATTGACACAACTAGTCCCAGTAAAGTCAATGGTTAAGACAACAAGAATGACTAACTAATAACATAAGTAAATCTTGCAGGATAAAAACCTTCAATTGGAGGAAGTCTTTCAGCTTTCTGAGTGTTAAACATTATTAATACTTGAAATTACTCTTAAACCTTTTATCTGTATTAACAAGGACTTGTAGGTTTTAAAATCAAACAGTTCTTTTTGCAACTATGTGACTTGGGGATAGTATCCTGTGTAATTATGTGGATTTCTTCCATTTGTGCCTCCTTTATCTTAGAGATTTTGTTTCCTTGGGTTTTTTAAACACTTTATTTCATAACACACATCCTTTAGGCTGTATACAAAAAAAAACTTCCAACATCACTGTGCTGATCGTACTTTATTTTATTAAAATAAGTTACAAGACCTCAAACTACTTTCCCATTTAATGGAGAGGTGACATAGGCACATTTGTAACTCTGCCTTGCCGTTTCACAGTTTTATATAATGTGATATACTGTATCCATTCATTTTTTTCTGTATTAACTGTTAAATAAGAGAATAAAAGAGCAGTTACTGCAGAAAAGCAGTACCTGCTGTACTACTTGCAGTACAAACTGAAGCACAGCAGATATAGGTAACTTTATGGTTATAAAGTGACTGTACATGAAGATCCTCAGGGTCACTGGATTTTCAAGACTGTTGCCTTCCTTAAGTCTTCTTGACATTTGTCAAAAATAACAAACCAACTGCTGTTTTCTAAGCTGTGCAACAAAATAAAGCTTGCTGAACACAATAAAAAGGATTGCTTCTGAAGGATTATTTCTTTCAGAATTAAGTAGAATGGTAACTCAGACAACCTGCTGTCTGCCTTGATACGCTTGCAGCTTCTCAGACACTTCATCTAGTGGTCAGTTGTTAAGGACAATATAATAGATGCCTACAAGGTTTGGTTTATTTATAATCTTCTGATTGCTGCATTTTCAACAAACAGTCTGTTTTCTAAATGAGGTCAATGCGTGTTTGAACCAGTGATTTCAAAATATTTTAGAGATCTGTCGAGGTGGCAACTTCCCAAATGATCTCAATAACCCTAATTTCTTAAAAGGAGTTGGACTGAGTGACATTCAGGGCTGAGGAGTAGCCGGTGATTGTCTTCGCTGCTTTTTTCAGGTTGTCTTGAAAGGATAGTAGGGATACAAACTGCACACCAAAGAATAACTTTGAAAGGAAGCCTCAGTTCTTTGTAATAAAGTATATTCCTAACATGAAACCACCACATTTTCTTGCTTAACATTAGGTCTTTCAGGCAGAAGGATTGTTCTCTGAAGGATGTGCTACTATTGAGATGACATTACATGTTTATTTATCTTGGTGTTCAGTTTTAACTACTTAGATTACCTGGAATTATATATTGTAATCCAAGGAAAATCAGAGTCTTCCCTTCACCTCTCCGAGGCAGATAAACTCAACTCCACGAGGGATTTGCAATTAGACCTCATAAAAACAACTTTGAATTTATTCAAGCACTGGGAAAGTCTTGTGTCCTTGGCAGAAGTTTTCATTCGGCTTTCAGAAACTTTGGGGAACTGAAAAATTTATTTATCTGTATAAATAATGAGTTAATATATAAAACTTACTGGTCTCCTGCTTTGCTATCCATTGATTAATCCTAAATACCCCACTCTTCCTTGATTCTGAGGCCTCCGTGATCAGGATGACAAACTGACAGATGTAGTGCTCCCCTAAATCAACTCCTATTTGAACAAGAGCACCTTTTACAGAAAAAAGCATGCAGTCTCAAAAATTTTCCAGTGATGAAAACCTTGGTAAATTGTCACAGTGATCAACCACTCTCACTTCTAAAAATTATGCCTTATGTTGAATCACAGCTTGCCCAACTTTAACTTCCAGCTATTAGTTCCTGCCATGGCATTTGAGGGCATTTATTCCAGCCCTGGGAGTTTACCACTTTCTCTTTTATTTTTTTTTCTCTCCCACATGTTTGTGAAATGCCTAATCCAGGGGCTGACCACATTTCTCTTCGCTGCCACAGGCACCACACTGCCAAAAATGAAGCCAGCAAATTCCAGCGCAGCGTAGCTGGCACCCACCAGCCTGCACCCTGGATGTCCTGCGGACCCAGGGCTTGCCCAGCACCTCCAGCCTCGGCACCCTGCCTTGCAGCTCTCACATTCTCCTATATCCCAGCAGCTGACACGTTTTCACGGAGAAGAAGAAGGTGCATGAAAATTGCTTGGGACAGTGCCTGTCTGCAGAGTTGGGATGCAGAGGAATACTGCAGCAATGGTCAGACTGTTGTCGCACTGCCTGTTTTGGGTGTCTTCAAAAATTTGGGGCACATACACACTACTTACGGGAGGGTTCAAAACTAAGCATTTGCTGCAACAGTAAAAGTCATCTGAACAGAGCAGTGCTTGATGTTCAATATACCATATATAATCTAGGTGATGTGAGCAGTGTGCATGTTATCTGTATCTTGATGCTAAAGTCCTTCAATGAAATGTGAAAGCATAATGGTATTTTCAACAAGCAAGATTTTGCTCTGTAACACTTCTAAAATTACCAGGAAAATACTTCCTGTTGTGAAGCGTGTTCCTTCCCTGGCTAACACCAAAGCAGCTCCCTCTAAAATACCAGTAAAGAGCTGAATGCAGAAGATCATGTGAGAAAAAGGATATATTTTGTGGACAGAGCTTCAAGGCGTGAGGTGACCGAGTCCTGCAGGGCAGCTATGGCTTCACACTTACAGGATTCTTCAGTTGTTACAAGACTGCTCGTTACGGCTCCTACGAGAGAAAACAGCACTTAGAATATTTGTGACAATTATGGAACATTTAAATCCCAGGAAAATGCTTGATTCTGCACCACGAGTTGAATTCATGCTATGAGATTACAGCAAGCACTGCAGCCCAGGGCAGTCAGGAAGGAGGGACAGCAGTGAACAGGGGCCAGGGTGCAGCCAGAGATACCAGTGTCATAGTCCAGGAATAAGACAGGCAAGAGAGGGCTCGACTCTAACAAAAGAGAAGGCAGAGCAGAGAGTTCCTCACCTGCCTACCTGGATCCTCCACACTCTTTAAATTAGATCATGATTGAACAAAATATAAAAAGAGGACTGGGTGCAGGGATCAACTAGCCTACCCCATCAACTCTAATCACTATACTAGAGTGAATCCCTTCGCCTGTTCTCTCTCCCTCTCATCCAGAATATCTCCCATCCCAAAAGGTAGGGCACCCTGGGAAGTAAGTGTGTATAAGTGATGCAGGCTGGGAAGAACCTGCAGTGCAGGTCTCTCTCTTGTAAGTAGTACTTTGACCATCAGACTATCCACATAGGAAGGCCACTGGCATCACTGTAAACAGAATGTATTCAATTAGCTGTATTTAAGGCCATGACTAACTTGTTGGGCTTCTCTTCAGAAGAATGATGGAATCATAAAATGGTTTGGGTTGGAAGGGACCTTTAAAGGTCATCTAATTCCAACCCTCCTGCCATGGGCAGGGACACCTTCCACTACACCAGGTTGCTCAAAGCCCCATCCAACCTGGCCGCATCTGGAATATTGTGTCCAGTTCTGGGCCCCTCAGTTCAAGAAGGACAGGGAACTGCTTGAGAGAGTCCAGCGTAGGACCACAAAGATGATTAAGGGAGTGGAGCATCTCCCTTATGAGGAAAGGCTGAGGGAGCTGTGTCTTTTTAGCTTAGAGAAGAGCAGACTGAGGGGGGACCTCATTAATGTTTATAAATATGTAAAGGGTGACTGTCATGAGGATGGAGCCAGGCTCTTCTCACTGGCATCCAATGATAGGATAAGGGGAAACGGATAGAATGGAATGGAATGGAATGGAATGGTTAGGGTTGGAAGGGACCTTAAGGATCATCTAGTTCCAACCCCCCTGCCATGGGCAAGGACACCCTCCACTACACCAGGTTGCCCAAAGCCTCATCTAACCTGGCCTTGAACACTTCCAGGGATGGGGCATCCACAACTTCTCTGGGTAACCTGTTCCAGTGTCCCCTCATGCTCATCGTAAAAGATTTCTTCCTTATATCTAATTAGAATCTAAATCTATCTATCTATACAAAATCAAGGTTGCTGCTCAGTCAGAGCTGGGTTGTAATGGCATTTGGGGTACTCATCACTCCCAAACACAGCACTTCTGAGAATGCCATAGTCTAAAATTAATCCCTCCAGCAGTTTTCCAAACCAAGCAGAAAGGCACGTAGTGATTTTAGGCACATAGTCAGTGTCAGAGACTGGTTGGTTTGCATCAGTTTCTGAGATGTGGGTGTAATTTAGATACCTAAGTCTCATCTTAGGAAGAAATTACAAGAATTGAATTTACCACTTGGTAAATAATACAAAAATCAAAGTAAGAACACAAGTATTAATTTTAAATGCTAAATAATAAGGGTCAGCTAAATCATCAATGCGTATCACCTCACAAGTACTCTCGGTTTGTAACATTGGCAATACGCATGCATAGGGAGTATCAGTTTTTATTCATCGAGGGGTGCGAACGCAAGTCCATTCCAATGTCACATGAACATGGATGCAGGGAACAACAACATTCAAATTGGCCCAAATGAATTTAAAATCTAGCAGAAAGGCACAGAAGTGTTGATGGAGGAGCCAGCTAGTGTGACAGAGAAGTCATCAATCTCTTAAGAAAGAGAAAGCAAGCATTGCCATACTCCACAGTGGTTCCGCTGAATCTGTTCCTAGGTCTTGCCCTCAGTCTTCCAGACTTACAGGGGACCAGCCTCATCTGTCCTCAGAATTCCTTTTTCTCCATAATCCACCACAAAACCAAGGATGATCACAAAGGGCTCAGAGAGATGGTAATTTCATTGTGGTATAATAACGTCGGGCATCAGCTGATGTGTATGAGTTCATAGCTACGTGGAAGCCAATTTAGCCTCACCTACTCCATGAAGAAAACAGGAGTTAAGGCAAGCTGCACCACTTGCTGCAGGCTAACAAACATTTCAACAGCTACTGAAGCACAGGTACAGTAGTGAGATTACCATCTGCATCTGAGACCAGAATAATAAGCTTCCAAAGGCAGAGCTTTCATAAAAGAGGGCCTACAATTATGAAATACCCTTTCAACAAGTTATCAAGGGGTATTACTTGTATGTAATGCCTGTGTCTTGATACATGTGTTTTTACGTTGCTTGCAAAGACAACGACAGCAGATTATTCATTTATTTTTTCTCTAGGTATATAAATGCATAGCTGATCAATGCCAAACAAATTATGTGAGCATTATAACAGTAACACAATAGAAATATTACACCTGGATACAATTTCTGTTTTGTTTTTTTCTGAAATATTTTTATTTCTTTTTTGTTTATCGATCATGCCATTGATATTTCCATTTTAGAGGGAAACTGCAAAATCTATGAACAGATTCATTTCTAGCAGTGCAGAAACTCATTTGTCTTAGAGCCAGTGTTGAAACTGGTGTCTCCTTGATTCCACTGAACCTGTATTTGTTCAGCTCCCTTCTTTGGAACATTCCACCAGCTTTATGGTCAATGTACAAAGAAGAGCTGTTCAAGAGTCAGCTGGAGGAAGGCCAGTTCAAAATATCACACCAACATGGTTGGTTTCCAACCAACTGCCAGTTAATTTTTCATGTTTGCATTTAAATTTTCCAATGACAGATACAGATCCTCCTTGGATTATGTCGGTTTTAAGAAATTTACTTTCCCAACCAACTTTGGCAACTGCCCAAGGGTACCCTGAAGTCTTCTACAGTCCTTCTATGAAATTTAGAGTCTTCCAGTACTTGATATTCAAAATCCTGGACACTCCCATTACCACTGGGATGGTCATAGTCAAACAAGTGGTACAAAACATGCTAGAGTTGTGTTTTTATACTGCATTTATGTTTAAGTCCAGACCTACAAAAAAAATACTATTTTTGCAGATATTGTTTGGCTATATCCACCTATTTTATAACTCTGCTCTTACATAGAGTCCTTAGCCACTTGATGGAATGGCAAGTTATTGCTGCTCTGAATCAGAGATTGGACTAGGTACCTCTTGAGGTCCCTTTCAACCCAACTTTATCTACGATTCTACATCAAATGGTGCAGAGGTTCTGCCAACAGTTGATGCCATTATTGCCCATCTGAAGGGAAAACAGTTGGTGAGTTCATGCCTGCCCCACTCAGCTTGGAGGAGCAGAGAAGAACATATGGTTTAGCATTACAGTAGTTCTTCTGACACCAGTTCCGTTCCCCTCTGGCCTCTCACCATCCACCAAATGCTGGTACACAATTGAGTCCCGTGCTCCAGAGACAGATGCCTCAGAACCCTGCCTTGCCAATCACCCAGTTGGTTCCCATTTCCTAAGGAAATGCAGATTATAACTGATTTTGTTTTACAATATGGTGAAGTCCTTAAATGTGCAGTGATAGGTAAGAGTCAACTGTAGTTTTAAATACAATAACTGCTATAACTAAGCGAGAAGGAACAAACTAGTTCAAACATTAGTGGAAACAGGCAGAAAAGAATGAAAAGGGATTATACTTTCAGAGAGTTTGTGAGTTGATAGAATGTTTCTTAAACAGATTAAAGGGATTTAACACATTAAAGAGAGGTACTTCAATAAATATATTCAGAAAAAAATGACATTAAATTATTACTTGAGCATGTTTTCTCATCTGGATTTAAGGTAAAGCCTTCCTAGCAGTCACAGGTGTATGATCCACCATTACTCACAGAGACCTGCTCACGGCCATGGGTTCCTGGTGCACATACTTCAGTTCTTACAGAACGCGTTTTGGAGAAATAGTTATCCGAAAGAAAGGTAACTTTTTTCCTGCTTCCTAATGGCAATCCTTTTCCATGCTGGGAGCCTATCCTACGTGAATCTTACCAGGAACTACTGAGATGTGTAACCAATCTTGCCTTGAGGCGGTGAGAAGAACCAACTGCCTTACTGAGGTCTCTCTCAGTTCCTACTTTGCAGTCTATGGTCACTCTGACCACAGCTGCCTAACCCCACCAGATGTGAAGTGCCAGGTCACCTCCAAAGGCATGCCATGGAAAGTTTCCAGCACACTATAGCTTTACAGTAAGGAGACCAGGAAGGAAAGAACCATTTTTTAAAAAATTACATTTTTACTATAACACGAAGTTACCTGAGAAGCTAAAGAAACAAACAGCAACATGAAATTGAGCCTGGAGGGGAGGACACCGCCTCCAGCTGTCTCCTGCACGGTGGTATGCAGTTTCCACAGTTCTGCAAAGTATGTGACTGTGTGACTAACCCCAGCTCTTCTCCCTTCAATTATTTCTCAGTTCTGGGTTTGCTGAATATTGTTGTTTTTTTTCTTAAATACAGTGAAGGCCTTAGTTATAAGGATGATAAAGAAAGACCACATGGTAGGCAGTTACTAGCATTGTTGCATATAAAGTGCTTGATATCTCTGAACGTTGCTCGAAGTGGAAAAGGCAGTGACACAGAACTGTCTTACAACACTTGAACGCACGTAAAAGTTTCTCAAACAGATCCAAATATATTAACCTGCTAATGAGAGGATTTCAATACCTATACTTAGCTGGGAAGGGTATGGGGGGATAGGGAACAACCATCTGCACTTACTTGAGCAAGTCTTCTTGTCTGGATTGAGGGTGTAACCTTGGTAGCAGTCACAGGTATAGAAGAGATCATCTCTCACGCAGACCTGCTCACAGTCATGCCTTCCAGGTGCACACATGTCAACAGCTGAGGAGGGCGTTTGAGAAGAGAACATTAATCAATACCCAAACTTCACTTTAGTTGATGTTAGTAATTCCCATTTTCAAACATATCTTCATTTGGAATCAAACCAGGACGTTTTTATTGCATGTCAGCATGCTATTAGCTGTGGTAGGGTATACAGAGTGTTTTTATCTGGCTATCAACATCACAAAATTAATATGATTTTTAGAACACTGGCAACACTGCAGTTATAACAGATTGCAAAAGGAACTGAACTTGCAGTGACCCAGTTACAAAGTAATTATCCGAAGGAACTTCAGAGAACAAATATCTGGATTTTAAGAGAGTATTTGGCATTATTTCAGCTCTAATTGAGTTGGATAAGCCACTGGTTTATGGAGTGAAAAGACCATAAACAGAAGAGTATACATGGCTGTGAAAAAAAAAAGAGAGACGTGGCACCCGCTGCCAGTTACAAAGTGGGCACTTGATGTGTGAGGCTGATGTTTTCTGCCAAATTTAACATGTCAACTCTGAAAGGCCAAGCTGAGAAGGAGTTCCTATATTTGGATATCTTTGTGGTAAGGAGGCTCAGTAAGGCACAAGCAAAGAAAGAAAGAAAACAAAAAGACAAGACCCCCTCCTGGACCTAGACTATTTTTATTTCATCACAAAGACCTGTATGGTTTAGAAATCATTAGCAGCCTATTGCAATTAGATTCAAAAGGGAAAAAAACAAGCATGTTAGGGAACTAATCTGAAATTTGACTATGCAGGGGGAGAATCAGTGCTGTGAAAGGAGGTTCAGGTTTAGACTCCCAAAGGGAGTCTAATTCCTAACTGAATTCACATTCCCTCAAAGACGTTTATTGCCTTTGTATAATGCCAGGTGAGCGTTAATCTTAGGAACTCCATTTACAAAATCAGCTCTTAAACCAGGCAGGAAGAAATATTGAGGCTCTCTGGCTTCACTTCTTTCAGATGCAATACTTAGGAATTAATTGGAGAGGTTTGCCTGGGAACCTCCTGGAAATGGAAGCCCAGTTTCAGTGCTTTGTCACACAAGATGTAGTAAGGAAAGAGATTATGATGAAAGTGGAAAAAAGGATTTTGTGTAAGTAAATCATCAGTGAGACATCCAAAGAAATGAAGAAGTTCAAATCCTAATTAAGTGAAAATGGTGGAGAATACATATTAATTTGTAGGTACTATATATATACATCCTTAAGTACCAGCTACATCTATGCTTCTATTCTCCACAGAAGACCAGAGCTGGGAAAGAATATTTCCCTCTATCCTCTAAAGCTCTATGGCTGGAATATTTTTTGAGGTCCAAACACATCCATCAGAAAGAGTTATCACACACTCATGATGATACATACTGTAATCTCTCTCCCAGCACAGTCCTTGCCCTAATTCATCTCCTTCCCTTGTGCTGCTTTACTGAAGAGTTTTCTGACACAAGTAATACACATCACATATTCCTACCAAATATATTATCCTCTCCTCTCTCAGATGGATATGGCAATGCATGCTCCCTGGGTGTGAAAATACTGTGAAGTCCTCAGCGAAATGCCAAATGGCATTTTAATTATACCAATTACAAGCTTCACATAACTGTAGAAGAGCCATGAGTCTCAAATTATTACTGGACATATGAAGAAATAAAGTTGCACTGTGTTTTCAGGAGTTGTACAGAAACTCTTGGATAATTTATCAGAAAAACAACATAAATTAACCTGATTTTTAAAAGCTACTTGCTTTTAGCTAAATACAGTATTTCCTTGATCAGGTCTTACCTGAGCAAGTCTTCTTATCTGGATTCAGAGCATATCCTTCAAAGCAGTCACAGCTGTAGGATCCATCATTACTCAGACAGACTTGTGCACAATCATGCCTTCCAGGTGTGCACATGTCCATGGCTGTGGTGAACCATGTTTTAGAGAAAAAAACTATTAATCCCTCCCAGACACTCAAGCATTTTAAATACTTCAACATTTACAAATATAATTTAATTGGGATTCAAATTATGATTCAACCAGTGCCGTACTACATTATTATATTATGCTGCAGACAACTGAATTCAGTTGCTAATTATTTAATGGAGGAGGCAGATATCTGGACTCCAAGACATTACTATACCATGCCTCACGCGATTCTGATTTTCATCAGCAATTCTATCAGCCCTGAATATCCCCAGTAAGGATGAAGCTAAGGATATGGCTATGATCAGGCCATACTGAGATGACCTGCCATGCGTCAAGGCTGAAGAAGTTGTTTCTTGCAGTGTTATCAGTAACTACAGTGAATCCAAATTTTACTTTATGCTTTCATCCATGAGCTGAAGGCAGGCACAAAAAGCCAAGCATTATATGTAGAAATGCTATTAAATGGCAAAGAGATATAAAGCCTAGTGAGAGCAAAAACAAACAAACAAACAAAAAAGCAGGAGCACGAGAAGACTATGTTCTCTATTGGAAACATTCTCAGAAATAAGAAGAGTGAAATCTTTGGTGAGAAGAATATGTGCTCTCAAAGGGAGGGATGCACTTACCAGTGATAAAATAGCCACCCTAAGGCTGGTGCTGCTCAAAACTTCTGGATTTAAAGAAAAAACTCCAGAGAAGTATTGTGTGGAAAAAAGCTTTTATAATAGGCTAACTTTTCAGGGTGACGATTCAAGAAGCTGCTGCCAGTGTAAGACTGGGGTTGCTATATCACAGATACCTGCACAGCTTGGAAGCAGAAGCAGCAAGCTGTAAAAAAAAAATGAGTTTCGACAGGAGAGATGGAGAGGACAGGGGAAAAATGTCAGGGTTTAAGTTCTCTATGGACTAGTGGCACTCACTCTCCAATGGAGACAGTGCTGGTTGGCATCTCTGGAATAGGTTCATCCTCTCCTAGGGACTAAGTGATGTTTATGAAGTACTGTGAAGACCATAAAATGGTAGGTAAGTGCCAAATTGCATTTTTGTAATCAGCACATTTAAAGAGAAATGCAATTTCACTCTTACTGGAACCAAGGGGAAAGTGTACAGGTCAATTATCATTTTAAGAGTTGATGTCTGTAAGCAATTTTTCAATCAGAAACAATGAAGGTAACTCACAGAAAACATGTCCATGTCTCCATGAGTTTCCTATATTAAAGTAGCCTTTAATTCATACCTGAGCAAGTCTTCTTATCTGGATTCAGGGTGTAGCCTTCATAGCATTCACAGACATAGGATCCATTGTTACTCACACAGATCTGATCACACTCGTGCCTTCCAGGTGCACACGTGTCCACAGCTGCAAGATGCATGTCAGAGAAACAATTCATTGTTAATAAAAAGTAGTTTGGGATAGAGTGCATATTCACATTGTCGAATATATTTCTATTTGGGATCAGCTCAGAAATGGCAATAGTAATTGAAAGAATTAGAGTAAGTGGTAAAAGAAAATAGCTATACAGTCTCTACATCTGAAGACTTTGTTTTGGCGTCTGGCCCTAATGAATGGCTCTGTAGGCATAACAAAAAGGATGGTGATGGAATCAAACTACTTCTCATCATCACTAGCAGCAGACTTATTTATTTATTATTTAGTATTAGATCTATTATTATTGAAGGAGATGGAGATGTTCACTGTTTCAACAAAAGTACACAAGTAGCTTCTCAAATCCAATTATGGCGTTCCAAAAATGTTGGTTTTTCTGGTTGAACACATATACCAAAGGAGTAATACCTGAGCAGGTTCTCTTATCTGGATTCAGAGTGTAGCCTTCATAGCAATCGCAAAGGTAGGATCCGCCGTTACTCACACAGATCTGCTCGCAGTCATGGCTCCCAAGTGCACACACATTCGCAGCTACGAAGGACATTTACGGAAAAGGCATTTCAGTCATCCCAAAAGAAACAGTCATTAATAATTTATGCTTACAACAGTACATCTTGCACCGTTTGCTGGGTTAGTGGTAGTGAATTTCAGTGCTGTGTCACTGTCACAAAAAGTTGCAGGCATCTTTTGCATCATACTGTAGACAGAAGAAAGAGATCATAAATGACACTGGAGAAACTGCACTGAAATAACTCACCACCTCAGGCGGCAGAAAGACAAGATAAACTGAAAAGGGTGCAACAGGGAGAGGGAGATTTTAAGCATTTAGTAACATTATACTGGAAATGAGAACATGGTAATGAAAAGGACCTTCTGGCTTATTGTATCCAGTCCCTTTCTATTACAATGAACCAGTTTAAATAATCCCAAAATGTGTCAGTCACTGTCTGGCAGTTTACTAACTTCTGGTCACTGGCATACAACCTGATTTACAAATTCCTACTGCATTGTAAAAAAACCCCATGTAAACTGAAATGCATTTGAAAATAAAATAAAATAAAAATAAAATAAAATAAAATAAAACAAAATAAAACAAAATAAAACAAAATGCAACAGAAAGAGCATCAAGACCAAGAAGAAGAGAAAATGACTCAGAGGCACTAGGATAACACACTCTCTTCTCAGGGATGAAGAGAGTGTCTGTGTAGTGATGGTCCAGATGCATCAGCCAGCAAAGAAATCTGCCAGTGCAAGATGTGTATGTGAGGGCTGCAGCTGCCTTGATCCGTCAGGTTTAAAAAGCCAAGACCAAAAGAGGATATGGAGGAAAGTTCCTACAGTAAGGTAGCTTTACAGGCACACAAGCCTCCTAATTGAAGGACAGTACAGAAATAACGTCCAGACCTCGGAGAACTGAGAAGCTGAAACTGCGAACTACAAAATGAGATTCAATTTTCAGGGACCAGCTAATTCCCCAGCAGACAGTCAGGTTATCTCATCAGACTGAGAAAACAGAAAATAGTGGTAGAGAAAGCAGCATGACGGATGGCAGCTGATCTAAGCGTGTTGCGGTGACAGGGCAGACAGAACGGCTGTTACAACGCTGGGCTATCTCTGCAATGCACTTCGTGTGCTGACAGCCTTTTCCTTCACAGATGGTCTAACTACATAACTACTTAACTTCTGACCAATTTTTCTCAAGTGTATTTAGCTTTGGATCTGCTGCTTCTTTGGTCACCTCAAGTTGCTTCTGCTTTTCTCCACAGATTATAAAGGAAACCTGGATACTTGCCTAAACTTAGATGATTTTTAGATGACTAAATTTAGATGAGATGAAAATAGAAGGAGAGAGAGAAGGAAGGAGAAAAAAAAAGAGAAAAAAGTGGGAAAGGGGAAAGAAAGAAAAGAAAGAAGGAGGAAACAAAAGGGAGAAAAATTGGAAGACAAGTCTTTTATTACCGGAGATTTTACTTAGATGAGTAGTTACAATGTGGATATTGACTACTGGTGAAATCAAACTCCAAAGCAATAGTGGTGAGATAAGAAATGAGATGTAAGCGCACTTGAATCTCCTCATGTATTTCTGATTGCAAGGCAACATTGCACATCTTCTAAAACATGAAAAGTTTAGATATCTCCTAATAAGGCTGATAGAAAGTGTGTCTTTCCATTGATAAAAACGAATCTCAAACCAAGACAGCGTCTTTTCATTCTGCTACACCCTTGGGAGTAAGAGAATTCATCTCTATGACTGATGAACAAAACCTGTGGGTGATATTTCAAGTATATTTGAGAAACTCAGATTCAAATGGTCAGATTTTTGTGGTAGGAAAGTCAAGTTTCCACTGACTTGGACACCAATTCAAGGCTAAGATTTTCCATCTCCAGGATGGTCTCACGTTGAATGATGCTCTCAATGCACCAAGAACTTGATCTTAGCCAACTATTTTGCCCTGAACATTAGTTTTCCTGTTTTCAGTTCACCCTACAAGCAAATTTATTTGGCTTAGCCAAAGCAAAGAAAATCCTAATTGTCACTGGTGAGTCTAGATTTCTGACCAAAAAGCAGTCTGGAGCTGGAAAAGTCCCAGTTCACCCACACTGTCTTACAAGACCCTCTTAGATTCATTTGGTTTGTATGAACCTTTTTAAAAATAATTCCATTTACCCCATTTTTGTCCATGAATCCCACAGATTCTGGCTATTTGCATGCAAGCAGCTCAGAGTTACACTAGAAGTGTATGCGAATGAGATCTCCTTGGTTTATCCTTCAGCTTAGTAGAGGCGTAGTTCCTATGCATTGGAACAATAAACAATGAGTTTATTCTTAAGAACAAGAGATTTTTCTTTGGTGCTATGAAAGGACTTGCTTTGGCTAGAACGTAGGTGGAAAATTAGTGTTATGTTCACAGCACACATAGCTGTCCAGCTAGGTGGGCACTTGTACTCACTTCCAGCTACCAGAGAGAGAATGTGGTCACATCAGCAACACAACATGATGTCAAGCCAAACCTCAAGGCATTTCCTATGTTAATTATTGGGCAAAGTGTCCTGTCTGCAGATGGCCCTACACGTTTATTTCACACCTAGAAAAAGAGGTCTATTCACTCTAAATATATTCAAAAGGTATGGTGATAATTTTTAGTAAGGCTTTGAAATAACAACACATTGCTGACCAAGTTCCCAAGGCAATGGCTGTTATTTTAATTTTCTTACAATGTTCTGTACACCTGATTTTACCCATTACTTGCTGGAGACTTATTTTACAAGTAATTTCCTTAGAAATTTACTCGAAAAATCTACTTCATACAATTTTTTTAATTGTCAAAAAGTTGTTGTTTGATTTTTGTGAGTAGGGCTATGTCCCAGCTATCTATAGGCGGTTCTAAATACTCCAGATGCACCCTTTTTTGACCCTTTTTTGTCTGTAAACAACAATAACAACCTACATTGGCCCAGCATCATTAGCTGAGTTCAAGCCCAAATCAAACACACACCCAGCATTTTTCCAAGACCAGCCCTGAAAGAGCGAAGCTAATTCAACTTATCCCACAGTCCCCTGTCTAAATCAACTTGCAGAGGAACAGAGAAAGGTGTGAGTCTGGCACATGAAGAAGCCCAGCAATGCCTGCAGAGTGAGAGCCTGTTGTGTTCGGGCAGTTCATCCCACATGAAATTTCTCAAGCTAGCGTGGTGGTTCACCTGCCACACTGATATTCCTACTCCGAGTCTGTAAGGAGCCCCTCAGCACCACAATTCCACCCTCCATGCTTCTCAGCAGATGGGGAAAGAAATAAGCGGACTGCACAGCTCCGGTGTGCGCTCTCCGCAAGTTGGTAACTGTACCGGATGGATTGCCATGCTTTCTCTTGCACTAAATGGGACCAACTGCACAAGGAGGTCCACTGAAATCAGGTCTGTTACTTGCATGGTAAGGTCACTATTCAAAATGAAAGGTCACTACTTGGCCTCCACTGAATAAAAGGGTTGGCTTGTTTGCCCAACGGGTGGCAAAGGAAATATTTGAATGTGATACATAACACTTCTCAAAAAGAAAAACTTCTTTCTTAGGGAGTGGAACCACAGCAGGAGCCCAAAGGAGCCAAATTACACTACCCTCTTGGACTGGCCACCTTACCGCAGAAAGTCTCTCTGAATTTGGATGTCAGCTTTTCGATCACACCGTAGGTTTCCACATAAAAGACGTGTTCATCCAGTGGTTCGCTGGCCATTATCCTCAGGGACTGCATGTCTGCCCGGTCTACCCCAACTGCATAGATCTCAATGCCAGCTGTCCGGGCGCTTGCTGCCACATCTTGAACCTGGTCTTGTGGTCGTCCATCTGTCACGACAATGACCACCTTGGGGATATTGAAGGTTGCTGGCCGGGTGCCCATTTCCTCAGTGAAGACTTCATCCATGGCAGTTTGGATGGCAAGGCCAGTCATTGTGCCAGCGGACAAGGGCTCAATGTGAGATATAGCCTCCTTCATAGATGCTTTATCAAAGTAGGTCCGGAGGGGAAACTCTACCTTGACAGTGCTGGCATAATTCATGACTGCCACACGGGTTGTTCTTTCACCAACGTCCAGAGTATCAATCATTTTTGACAAAAAGATTTTCACTTTCTCAAACTCTTCAGGTCGGACACTACGGGAACTGTCTATGATGAAGACAAGGTCTAGGGGCCGGTTCTTGCAGGCAGTGTCTGTCAAGAAGGAAGGAAAACACTTCAGTCATCTCCTACACAGGACCGGAGCTCTCACCCTAGGGCAGTGAAAGCTGTCACGGCAAACTACTCCTACCAGATAAATGCTGGCACTCTTGATTATCTAGAAAGAGGCTTAAAATTATAGCGAGCAACACATTATTTTATATATATATAATACAGATATATGAAAATAAAATAGATATGTGTGGATATATTAAATACATAATATATTTATATTATATATAAATTCTTAAATGTTGATTTTGACAAGTAATAAATAATTGAACTTTTCTAAGCATTAAAAGACAGGTCCACATTTGAGCCCACAAAATGTCTAACTATCCTTGAAACAAAGGGTTGTAGTTTGCATGTAACAGCCAACACAGAAATGTAACAATATATAAATGTACTTACTTTTAATTTTTATAAAGATAAAGCCTGAATTCCATTTTTTTTTAAGCTATAGAAATAAAATGGTAAAACAACTGGCTAGAACAGATCCTAACAATATTTTTTAGCATAGTAACAATATAGATTGCTGATTAGGAATTATTTCTTGTTTGTAACTCACAATTCGAAGTACACAACAAAAAGAAATAAAGGCCAACAGGAAAAAGAGGCAAATGACGCTGTGATAAAGGCTTCTTTAGAAGTTGTTACTGTTTAAAGGCTTCTAGGGCAGAGAAAAATAAAGTAACTTATTATTTATGAAGTAATTTTACATGTAAAAATGAACATTTACACAAATATTTCTAGCTTCTAAAATTCCTCACTGACCTAAATCTAGACTGAAACAGAAAAACCATAGCTCAGATCAGAGACAAACATCACTTTTAGGAAAGCAAAAAATAAGCAAGATATGAAGAGCAGGCGGCCTGAGCTGCACGCTCTCTGTCCTGGTATCCTGACCTGACACCGACGATGCATTAACTTAGTTTATGCCATCAAGGTATGGATTTGTACTGCTGGTTTATGCAAAACAGACAACTCAAAAGCACAGTATTTCTACAAAAGAGACATTCCTGTTTTTAGCAGTGCATTAAACAGAAAAATGTGAGGTGTTCAGTTTGAATATACTCCCTGAAGAGCAGTTTTGGGAACCTGACACTTTTCCCAGCTACTATCAGGTTGACTTTTATTATTCTATTCCAGTTAAAAAAAAAAACCTTCACAATTCTTTTAAAAGTAGAGGTGAAAATAGCACTTTTTTCCCCCCAAATGCATTAAAAAAATTTTTCTCTTGTGCAAGTGAAAATGTAGAGAAAAAAATCAAATTGCATAGATACACCTTACTTCCATCAGGAAACAGTAGTAAAGATGATTTTGCCTTTGGACAGAGTAACGGAATGGACGAATCTAGGATCCCGTCCAGGTATATTATATATAATTCTACATTCACCCCATAACTCATTTTTTACATAAGGTTTAGAAGAATGGCTTTGTGCCCTCCGGGAAGCTGGGAAAACATGAAGAAATGTTTGCACATGCATGCATAGCTTAAGACTTGAAAGAAGAAGAC